AGATCTCCACTACTGCCCATGTGACTCTTCCACAGGGCAGTGAGCCCCTGGGTTAGACCCTGTAACCTGCACCCCATGCCTGTGCTTCATTCCCTTCTGATCTGTTCATTTCTGGAATTTGTTGCCCCTCCCTCACTTAAGAGGGTGGGGATTTTCATTGTCTTGGTGAGCTCCACCCACAAATCCCTGTTATCGAGTGGGAGGAGAGCTTCCATGAGCATATTAACCTAATCCCCAGGGACATGCTGTTTCGTAGCATGTTTCTGGATTGCTGCAGTAGTTTGTTTGCACATATGTCTATCTGTACACGTGGGTGTGTGTCTGTGTGTTCTCTCTCCTGGCAGAGTACCAGCAGGGGTTCCACGAGATGCTCCTGCTATTCCAGTTGCTGGTGGAGAAGGAACATGAGGTCTACTGGCTGTTTCAATTCTTCCTCCAGAAAACAGTAGGTCAGAGAGTTTGTAGGGCCCTGGCTTTGTGCCCTCACTGAGCCATCCAGTTGACCAGCCTGCAGCAACGCTTCCTGGAGGCAATCTGCCTGACCTGACCATCCACACACCCCAGAGAGAAGAGGGCCAGTCTGCCCCCTCCTGGTTTGCAAGCCCACCCTTTCATCCCCAGTGATAAGTCACCCAACTCAACTTTTCCTCCCAGCCACCCTGCACCACCCCCTGTATGACAAATGGCGTGACTTGACCCGTGTCCCACCTACCAAGCCACCCTGAGCCAGCCCTACAGGAGATGCCCAGGCTGCTGGTGGAAGCTGGATAGTTGGGGAGGTAGTTGCAACATCAGAAGACCTTGAACAGCAATTTGGCAAAACATCCCCATCATTCAGAATGAAGGGTGGGAGAGAATCAACTGTTTCCTAGCTCCTACTAACCCAATAGGCCAAACTTACCAGAACTGAAGCAAAGAGGCTCCTAGGTTTTGTAGATTGGCACCTTGTTGGATAAAGTGAGCCCAGGAAAGCTGCAAACAAATATCCAGTAAGACGCTGTCCTCACCATGACTTCCCACCATGCTTCTCAGGGCATTGCACCTCTCCAAGTTGGCAAGCCAAAGGCGGCGCCCCCTGGCTGTCTCAGAAAGGTGTCTATGAGCACCATGCAAGCAGAGGTTATATCTAATGTATGTTTAACTTTAGACATAGTAGTGCATGCTTACGGAAACAGAGAAACATAAGCAACAGTGTGCCCGGAGTTTGTGTCTAATGACTGGTCCGCCAGAGGGTAACATCCTACTGCTGCTACCAGCTACTGGGAGTGTACCTTTTGCTTAAGCAGTAGCAATCTATATTACAATTCAGGAGGTCCCAGGTTGAAACCGAGTTGGTGACTCATGCAGGGGTAGTGTAAACCCTGGCCAGATCCATTCCTGGGGTAAGGCCAATGGAATTATGGGAAGGATGAATTTGGCTTCATGGATTTAACAGGAGGTTGTAGCCAAGCTGGGCCATCTGTTCTCTTCCTGTCCTCCAAGCCTTCCTGAATTGTCTTCCAGGAGCACAGTTGTGTCGTGCACATGCATGAGGGG